CACGCATGTTCCCCCCACTACAGGACAGGGCCATGACCCCCATCGTGACATAGGCAGTCCATCGAGGATCATTCCCCTCCACACAGTGCCAGCGCAAGCTCAAGCAGAGACAGAGGCCGACGACTCGAGCATCGCAAGGGCGCACAGGTCCGTCTCTTCCCCCCACTCCTCCAATTTACCAGTGTCTGCGGCTATCGGCTGCGCGTTCCCCTCTCCTCCTCCTCACATGGTGCACGACGATCTCGCAGCGGCCCACGAACGTCCACCATCTCAGGACACAGAAACATCCGACGCGGCATTTGGGGTCAGTACCCCAGATCGTGGTGTTGCTCGGAGGGAAGAGACTCGCCCTGGTATGCGGACAAACGGGCGCCCGATTAGGCCCCGAGGCACGGCACGGGTTCCCCCATACGACCAGGAAGGGAGCCTGGCAGGGATGGGCGCCGACGACGCGTGCCCGCAGATGCAGGACCTCCTAGCCCCTGCGGAGGAAATAGGTGCTGCACAAAGCAGCACACACGAGGCGACGCATCACACGCCAGAGCCTCCCAGCGGGGGCCGAATCGTGGCCCCACCCGGCAGGGCTTCCCCCCCTCCATATGACCCAACTGCGGCTTTCCCGACCTGGCTGCCCAGGACTGGCACGACAGAGGACGTCGAAATATCCCCCATTGTGCCATTCGAGCCGATAGGAATCCGCGCGGACGGAGAGAGGCAGCATCACGCGGAGTATGGCCGCACCATGGGGACAGGGATGGACGCTGCGGGGGGGTCGCCTCCAAACGAGGGCGAACGAGGAAATGACACCCCGAGCGACGTGTGGGCGCATGATTGGGAGAGCGACGACGGGATCAGCATCGATTCGGACGTTCGCGGTCTCGACAGCCCAATCCCCCCCCCTCCAGGCCTCGGGCCCGCTCCTCCTCCCGGCTCAAGGTCACGCAGCCCGGGAAGGTGGGAGGGCATGCGCAGACAGGGGGGGCGCGCGCCCCAGCTCAGACCCCCTCTCCACCAAGACGACGGGTGTCACGCAACATTGACACACCCTGCCTGGCCCCAATAGTTATGGACCCCAGGAACACCATGAGAGGGGGTCCTATCTCGGCCCTACTGGAGCAACATGAGCCTAGGGTTGGGCCATGGAGAAACATTCCCAGTGACCCCCCTCGCAGCCGTGCCATGCGCGAGGGGCTGGTGGAGCTAAGAAGCTTCTGCTGGCTCCGACGCCCCCCGGGGAACGCAGGCCCCCCCGCTACAAGGGGAAACGACCGCCCTCGCAGGATAGACCCCAGACCCACGATGCAGGAACAAGAAATCACGAGAAGCCTCCGCAGCTGTGCCTCAGCGATGGCTCAGCTGGATCTCTCCTGGCTGGTCTGGTCCACCACAGGATCCGATCACGAGGCTAGGCTCGGCGGAGTAGGGCCGGATCCAGTCCAGGTGCTCGCTTTCCGCTACGCGAGTCTGTCACAAGATCCAGACATCGAAGCAGAAATCCAGTATTTTGAGGAACCAACACAGGAATAAACCATTGCGGCAGAAAGGGAATACGACATACTACGCCACGCTGCTCTCTACGTGGACATTGGAGTGTGTGACCCGTCAGAGGGCCTCTTCCCCCCAACTCTCCTCGGGTTGTCCAGGTGGCGACGCGACCCTGCGCCGGACGTGGCGGAGAACGGCCCAGCTGACACCAACTCAGAGCACAAGTCCAGGCTGTGCAAACACCTGGTCCACGAGCACCGCCGTAACACGGTGCACTTCCCAGACCACAGCGAAGTCAGGCAGTGGGCTATTAGTAGAGGACACTGGGTCGATGCAGGGGCTGACGTCCTCTCCTCGCCACAGTACGGCACAGGCCGGGACGGTTGGGCCACTCCAGCCATCCCCAGTGCCGAGCCGCAGACTCCAGACATAGGCGGGCCCAGACACTCCGATGGCGTCAACTTGGCAGGACCCGGGCCCATAAACAGCACCTCGCAAATGATAAGGTTCGGAGACTTCTTCCACCCCAACAGCAGATGCGGGTACTGTGGCTGCTGGAACACGCGCCAGGACATCCCCAATTGCATTGTGTGCCGCAGGTTAGGATCACCATGGGTGACCTCTACGGACGATGCGCACACGGGCAACCTCGAAGCCCCCGGACACCCCTTGGATCTATTAGGCACAAGGCTTACTTTCCAGCTGGCCAGAGTGGGAGCTCGGTACGCACCTATCGCAAGCCACATAGACCCCCGCATCCCCCCGCCGGAGGCCACCAGTTTCTCCCCGTCGTGGCTGATCGCTGAGCTTCTCGCAGCATGGGGCCACATGACGGAAGTAGCATTGGAAAGCGGCATGGTGGCAGAATCTGGAGCATGCCCTGCCGCGGCGGGAGACACGGGAGTATGGGGCGAACCGGCATTTCGGGCAGCGGCGGGTTCTCTGGCCAGACTTTGCTGTGCCCCGATGGGATGGGTTATGGAGGCAATGTCACACATGCAGCACACCATCAGGG